CTACTACTACTAGTACAAACAACAACAATACTCCAACTTATTTAACAATACTCCAACTTATTAGTACTATTCATGATGTTCACTAGAATCAGTAGTAGTAATTCATGAATGGTGAAATAAGAAGAAGCACCTTGTTGCTGTTAGTACTAGTACTAGTGTTTGATTCAAAATAGAATGATGGCATCATGTTATCTTCTTTGGTATTGTTAATTGTGAAGCTAACAAGAAGAAGAACTGAACCTACTACTGCCTACTAGTACTGCCTACTACTAGTACTGCCTACTAGTACTAGTACTGCCTACTAGTAGTAGAACAAGAAGAATTGCCAAGAAAACCAAAAAGATCAATTGGTTTTTGTAGTAGTGCTGTACTAGTACTACTACTAGTAGAAGGGATTTTACCTCCCTGCTATCATTTACCAATTGCTGCTAGCTTTGTTTTTCTTGTTGTTGTTCTGCTTCTTCTGTTGAACAGGGATAAGCCAAGGAAGCTTTTTTGACTGTTGATACTATTCTTAGTGGTAGTAGTAGCATTATCATGACAGCAATTACTAGCACTAGAAACAAATCTCAAACCACTACTACTACCACCAGCACTCACAATCATTCATACTAACTACCACTGGTAATACTAACAGCAGGTTTCACCATCACCTGTGTGGTACAACTACTAGTACTAGTAATGATAGGAGGTCCTGCTGGTATGATTACCAAATCAAACCGTTTACTAGTCTCATCATTGCTGACTTGTGGTTCCCTCTGTCCTGATGCTTCCTCAAGCAAGACAACAAACCCCACAGATAACCACAATCAACAGAAGATACTGTCCCCAAACAGCATTGTTGATTGAGTGCACTGTTAACTTCGTGTTCTACAACACTGCCCAGCACTAGTAGTGATCTGTTGCTGTGTGCTAGTACTACTACTACTTACATGTCATCATATGCTGCCTTGTACTTGTACTAGTACTAGGAGTGGTACTAGGAGTTCCCTCATTCTGCAACACACGGTATTAGTAAAATCTTAATGTTATATCTTACTTCATGAACTAGGACAAGAGGCACTATACCATCATGGCCAAACATTCATGAACCCAAGGGGAGAAATGCAGCTAGCTGCTCTGGAGGGCAGCGCTTCTCTTCGAAGATTCTTTCTGAAAGCACAACCAAGTGGGGAATCAAACCCCAAACCTCAGCACCTATTACTACTGTGTTGTAAGCATCTAAATCATAGGAGGATGAATCCTCCTCATTAAATATACTGTATTACTAGTAGTAAACTTCTAGCACTTTTTTTTTCCATACAACTATGATCCTTAGTATTTCCCTAACCTGTTCTTTAGCGGGTAGCTACCAGTACTTTGGTACACCAAAGGGATACTCCTATAATGATATCTTAAGAAGAAACTGGTGATTGTTTCTTCAACAGTGTCAATTTTTCATACAAATAGGGAAGTTAAGGAATATTTTGACTGGATTTGCAAGCAACTCCCAACTGGTGCTTTACCTTTCAGATGATCATTGGTTTGCTTCAAGATCTAGTAGTACTACTAGTAATATTAGTACTGGTAGTAGTAACTGGACCACATGGAAACAAAGTTAAAGGAGCAGTGTTGGTTAGTAAATAACTCTTTTTACTTGATGGAGGGCACATCTATTTCTTCTTTCTTGTCTACAAAATCAAAGGAGATGCCCAGTAGCAACTCATTAATCATGTGCATCCATTTCTTTATTCTTGTCCTCTAGTACAAAACCACCAAAGAAGATGCAAGGTATTGTCACTATCATCACCAATATACTAGGACTAGACAAAGTACTGAGAACTATGCTTGCAAATACTGAATTATTCTGGCACACATTTATTCAAGGCATCAGTATTGACAACAACAAGAAGCTACTACAGGCCAGCAGCCTCCATCCAGGTGGTGTCTTTCTGTTACAGATAATAGATAAAGAGGATAGAATATCTTCAGTTCTTGCTGAAGGTTCCTCCTACACTAGTAGCACCATGCTTATTTTGCTGTTGCTACTCCTTTACACTACTACTAGTACTGCTAGGACTGCTACTACCAGTAGAACATCCCAGTTCAACAGAAGAATTACTACTGGTGTTTGGAGAGGGAATGTTTTCCCCATATTGTTGTCTACCTTTTTGAAAAATCAGTTGTGCATGTGGTTGTCTTTTGCTGCAACTAGTAATACTACTAATACTGCAATTCTACTACCAAATCAACAACCAGATGACCTGCAGTATTTATTTCACAATAAATATTATGACTTCAAACTATCCTGCAAGTAAAACAAAATATGAAGTTGTTAGTACTACTACAAGCACCACTACTATTTTGAAACAATAAAAACTCAGCTATCACAAAAGAAGAGAATTCCAAAAACTATTTGACACGAAAGTCAGAGGTGATAAGAAAATACTCCTTACACTACAAAAATGAATGGTAAAACATGCAAGAACTGATACAATGAAATGCATCTCATGTTTCTTTAGTGCGAAAGAAGACAGTTTAACAGTGACCTTATTTTTCCAGAAAAGTTTTATAGAATGCGGGCAACGTTTCTGTATTCCAAACAGTATTTGCTTGTGGTAAAATATTAGAAGTCCTTACAAAAGCATATTAAAAAAGGGATTACATTGAAATCATTACCGACAATTAACTAAAGGGAACAAATACTCGTGATTTCCTAGTACAAAACCAAAACATGTTGCATCCTGAGAAAGAAAAAAATGTATGGACTAAGTCGAGATAGGAGTTGTGCTGCTGTGATTTTCTGTGATCACCCCTGCTAGAGCCTTTTTCATAGCTGCGCACAGTAAGTTTGACCTGTTGGAACATTTTGATCCTTGCTGGTGAAAAAAATCAGTTTGTGCACGTCTATTAATCGCTCTCCGAAACATTGCAGATTGTCGAATCGAGTCTACTTACTTTGGAACGGTCAATGTGTGGCAAAGAAAATCAATGGAAACAACCTGTTTGCTAAAAGAATGTTTAAGCTGTATTTATTACACGCTTGTCGACCAACCTTCTCAATTCTCATTCTGCTCGATAACTTCGCTTGACCCCGTAGTATGGTAAACATGCCAGACTTTCGGAGTGAAAACTGTGTACAAGTTGCTGGAAAACCTGTCTTTTTTGTCTGTGTCCATTTCACTAGCAAGCTTCTTTTTCGGCCAATAGCTCCTTCTCCTCAGAATAAACAATTGTGGCAAAACCACTCACAATCGAAGGGCGAAAGCTACACCAAACTTGCGGAGTGCATTCACCGTATCCCATCGTCGTTTGCCGAATGAATAATTTCTTGTTACATAGTATCGAGATGGATTCTATTGTTTACTAACGAGTAGATCAAGATAAATTTTCTCTCGTGTCATGGTAAATTTGAGTATCGAAGAATGGCGCAACTATCTCAATAACATCTATGGGTGATTGTTGTTTGTTTTTTCATTCGACCTGTTCCGACGCTTGTGCCGTACGGTGCACCTTAGAGACACAGCGTTCACATAGTAATGGATACAGCCCTGTGACGAAGCGAACAACCACTTCCTCGATCAGATTCAATCATAACCGGTTTCTCTCGATTCAACCGCAAGAAATTGCCCTCCACGCGAAAATGATGGATGTACATTCGATTATATGCCATTCATTAATGTTCCAATCTTCTTGCCGTCATTTGAGAGAGCGAAAGGAACAGACTTTCAGTGATGGTATCTGCTGAAACCACGATCGGCACGCTCTTGAAAATTCGGATCCGCGACTTTGTTTGAGTCAAGGGCAATCATGAGAAACTTCAAATCCGATGGCTGCCTCATCATGAAAGAATGCAACTTTTGAGGGTTGAGGCAGCTGCCTTCGGGGTTAAATTTACACCAGGTCACATTGGTGACGGAAGAATTTACTGATGACAAAGACATCCCACGCAGGAGTCACATCCTTCGTCGACTTTTTTTTGACTCACACGGAAACTCCAAAGATCGGATTTTTGGATTTCCAGGATGCATAAAAAATCCTAGATCCGCAAACGTACGTGTCTGAAAGTTTTTAGTCGTGAATGGCTTCACGTGGAAGATATCGGGAGGAAGATCTTTAGACGAAGAACAGAGAATTTAGCTCAAGGAATTCTTCTTAATGGAAAAATGAACAATATTTTGGTTGTAATGTAAATTTGACGTTTTGATTGGCTGAATTTATTGTTTTTAGAGTTCGCCACTACACTTTTTGTCGCACCATGAAAATTGCTATCCTTTGTTCAACCTATGGAAAATCTCTCAAACCACGTCATCGACGTCCGTACTCCACCCGGTTGGATAATTCAACATCAACCCCTTTCTCTGTTCCTTCCCGTGGAAAGCTTCCGCGCCTTGTTTCTCCAAGCTCGCTAGGTTTACGAACTCTTTTTCGGATTTCACATCATGCGATTCGCTCACCCCGATCGTTGGTGCCTTCCTCATAAGTTGCACGAGGATCATCCTTTTAACTCCTCTCAAACCAACCCCTTTCAAACACGCCTTATATATACACGAAGATGGTGCACTTCAAAGCAGCCGCTGTCACTCTTTTCGTATTGGGTGCCACCACAACAGCGTACGTAACACAGTGAATGAAGTTACAACTGCCGAAACGGACTAACAACAGAAGAAAGCTGTCTTCTCAATAGACCATGGGAAAACAATTCCATCGATCACGCGCAAGTTGAAGTTTTAGTACCGCGATCACACGTAGAATTCTACGTGTGATCTAAAACTATCATTCCAATTTGTCGTGAATCTGTTTTCTTTTAGGGTTTCACACTGAAACAATTGTCTCACCTTTGAACTACATTTCTCCTCACCTGATCTTTTGTTGGTGGCAACTTCGACTGTAATATCTCACGACCCTGTTGGAACTAATGCTATGTCAAAATACTTACACAACAAACGATTAATATATCAAACGACGACGAAAAATGATACGAACAATTTGATGAATATTTAAACAGATGGACTCCCGCATCCCGAACTGTCGCCCCTAGCGCCAGTCTCTTCGGCCAACGCGATGCTGTCACCTCCGTCTCGAAGACGCTTCTTAGTGTCGTCACGGATCCAACTGAATCATCAACCGATATTGATGTAAGCATGGGATCTGGAGGCGGTATGTTCACTGCCACGAATGCAGAAAATAGAAGAATTGTCCCCGAAAACCCAGACGGCCGCCCCACAATGAAGGTCGTTTATGTCGTTCTTGAATCTCAATACCAATCATCCATGTCCGCTGCTGTCAAGAGAATCAATGCCGCCAACCCTAACATGGCTGTAGAGTGTGTGGGATACCTTCTTGAGGAGCTTCGAAACGACGACGCCTACGAACAATTCAAGGCTGATGTCGAAGACGCCAACATCTTCATCGGATCGCTCATCTTTGTCCAAGAGCTAGCAGAGAAGGTTGTTGATGTTGTCAAGCCAGCTCGCGAGAATCTTGACGCATGTCTTATCTTCCCTTCTATGCCTGAAGTCATGCGACTGAACAAGGTCGGTTCTTTCACAATGAAGAACCTTGGACAATCCAAGTCTGTTGTCGCCGACTTCATGAAGAAGAAGAAGCAAGAAGATGGATCGTCCTTCGAGGAAGGAATGTTGAAGCTTTTGCGAACTCTTCCAAAGGTCTTGAAATTCTTGCCTTCCGACAAGGCCGCTGATGCCCGGACTTTCATGATGTCTTTCCAATACTGGTTGGGTGGTTCCCCCGAGAACATCGAGTCCCTTTTGAAAATGGTTGGACAAGACTACGTTGAGGATATTTCCAAGAACATGGAAGGAAAGGAGAAGATGGAAGCCGTAGAGCCTAAGCTCCTCCCTGACATTGCCATCTGGCACCCTGTAGCCCCTGACGTTGTCTTCGAGAGCTACAGTGATTACATGAGATGGTACGACAACGAATTCTGCCCTGACGCCGGCATCGACGCGAAGACCGCTCCCACTGTTGGAATCCTGTTGCAGAAGTCTCACATCAACACTAAGGATGACACCCACTACGTCTCCTTGATTGCAGAGCTCGAGTCTCGTGGTGCTCGTGTGGTCCCTGTTTATTCTGGTGGTTTGGACTACTCTGGACCTGTTAACGACTATTTCAAGGATGCCAACGGCAAGGTGATTGTCGACACCGTCGTCAACCTTACTGGTTTCGCCCTGATTGGAGGACCTGCTTCCCAGGATCACAAGAAGGCTGCTAAGGTTCTCAAGGACCTGAACGTGCCTTACCTTTGTGCCGTTCCGCTTGTCTTCCAATCCTTCGAAGAATGGCAATCTTCCGAACTCGGTCTTCACCCTGTACAAGTCGCCCTTCAGGTTTCCCTCCCCGAAATTGATGGTGCCATCGAACCTGTCATTTTTGCCGGACGTGAAGGAGCCACCGGACGATCCGTTCCATTGGCCGACCGTGTGAACCTCCTTGCCGAGCGTTCCCTTAAGTGGGCGAACCTTAAGAACAAGGAAAAGAAGGACAAGAAGATTGCCATCACCATCTTCTCCTTCCCTCCTGACAAGGGTAACGTCGGAACCGCAGCTTACTTGGACGTTTTCGACTCTATCCAAGCTGTCCTCAAGCAGCTCAAGTCTGAAGGATACGATGTCGGTGACGCTCCCGAGACCAAGGAAGAGATCATGGAAGCCGTCCTCAACGACCCCGAGGCCCGCATCTCTTCTCCTGAGCTTAATGTTGAATACAGAATGAGCACCGAGGAATACTACGACCTGACCCCTTACGCCACAGACCTTGAGGAGAACTGGGGACCTGCTCCAGGAAACCTCAACTCCGATGGCCAGAACTTGGTCGTCTACGGAAAGAAGTTCGGAAAYGTCTTCATCGGAGTTCAGCCTTCCTTCGGTTATGAGGGAGATCCCATGAGATTGCTCTTTGCCAAATCCGCCAGTCCTCACCACGGATTCGCCGCATACTACACTTACTTGGAGAAGATCTTCGGAGCTGATGCCGTGCTTCACTTCGGAACTCACGGATCTTTGGAATTCATGCCKGGAAAGCAGGTCGGTATGTCTGGTACATGCTACCCTGATCGTCTGATCAACACTTTGCCCAGTGCGTACCTTTATGCCGCAAATAACCCTTCTGAAGCAACCATTGCCAAGCGTCGTTCGTACTCTGCTACTGTTTCTTACTTGACTCCCCCCGCAGAGAATGCTGGTCTTTACAAGGGATTGAAGGAACTCAAGGAACTCATCGAATCTTACCGTGGACTCAGAGAGAACGAGGGTCGCGGACCAGCCATCGTTAACTCCATCATCTCCACTTCCTACACTTGCAACTTGGACAAGGATGTCGATCTTCCTGACCTTGAAACCTACGATTCCGCAAGTGACACCAAGGAAAGACGTGATGACATCGTCGGACAAATCTATGCTCAAATCATGCAGATCGAATCCCGTTTGTTGCCATGTGGTCTTCATACCGTTGGTGTCCCACCTTCGGCCGATGAAGCTGTCGCCACTCTTGTAAACATTGCCCAATTGGACCGACCTGAAGATGGTATCGAAGGACTTCCCCGTGTCATTGCTGCCTCTGTTGGCCGCGACATCAACGATGTCTACCGTGGTAACAACGAAGGTGTCCTTGACGATGTTGACCTCAACACCAAGATTACTGAAGCCGCCCGCGCTGCTACCCGTGCACTTGTTGAGCAATCCACTGACGGATATGGACGTGTCAAGGAAGTGAAGTCTGTCTTCGCTGATGTCGGAAACATGTTCAACTCATTTGTAGGAAAGAAGAAGCCTTGGACCGAAGCCATCATCAAGGCCGGATTCCCTGATGTTTCTGAAGAACGCCTCGAAGGTGTTATGCAGTATCTTGAGTTCTGCTTGAAGCAAGTCGTTGCCAACAACGAACTTGGAGGAATCATGGAACTTCTTAACGGAAACTTCTTGATGCCTGCCCCTGGTGGAGATCCAATCCGTAACCCCGATGTCCTTCCCACCGGACGAAACATGCACGCCTTGGATCCATCTGCCATTCCTACCCAAGCCGCCGTCGAGGTCGCAGAGAGTGTCACCAACAAGTTATTGGACAAGCTCAAGCTAGAAAACGATGGGCAATTCCCCGAGTCCATTGCCTTCACCTTGTGGGGTACTGATAACATCAAAACCTACGGAGAATCCTTGGCCCAAGTCTTGGCCTTGGTTGGTGTCCGACCAGTGTCCGATTCGTTGGGACGTGTCAACAAGGTTGAACTGATTCCTCTTGAGGAACTTGGTCGCCCTCGTATCGATGTCGTTGTTTCCTGCTCCGGTGTCTTCCGTGATTTGTTCATCAACCAAATGAACTTGATGGATCGTGGTATTAAGATGGCTGCCGAAGCTGATGAACCCGCTGAAATGAACTTCGTACGAAAGCACGCCATGGAATCTGCAGAAGAGTTGAATGTTTCTCTTCGTGAGGCTGCATGCCGTGTCTTCTCCAACTCTGCCGGATCTTACTCTGCTAATGTTGGTCTGGCCATCGAGAACGGAGGATGGGAAGGCGAAGAACAACTGCAAGAGCAGTTCTTGACCCGTAAGGGATTTGCCTTCAACGCCGACAAGCCCGGTATGATGGAACAACAAGCCGATCTCTTCAAGTCTGCCCTGAAGAAGGTTGATGTCACTTTCCAGAACTTGGACTCGTCTGAAATTTCCATTACTGACGTTTCGCATTACTACGATTCCGATCCTACCAAGGTCGTCGAAGGACTTCGTGACGATAAGAAGAAGCCTATGTCGTTGATGGCTGATACCACCACTGCTAACGCACAAGTCCGTACCCTTTCGGAGACCGTCCGTCTGGATGCCCGCACCAAATTGTTGAACCCTAAGTTCTACGAAGGTATGCTCAGTACCGGATACGAAGGTGTCCGTGAAATCCAGAAGCGTCTCCGTAACACCATGGGATGGTCCGCCACTGCTGGAGAAGTCGACAACTTCGTCTTCGAAGACGCCAACGATACCTTCATCAATGATGCCGAGATGCAACAGCGTCTTCTCGACACAAACCCCAACGCCTTCCGCGACATGGTCACCACATTTTTGGAGGCCAACGGACGCGGCTACTGGGACACAAGCGAGGAGAACATTGAGCGACTGCAAGAACTTTACGCTGAAGTTGAGGACCGCATCGAGGGAGTCTAAATTTTGTTCTCTTCCTTCCATTGCTATCAGAAAATCTAGAAATAACCGACTAACTTTTTCCCTCTATTTTTCCCTGATCGGACAGACGAGCGAGTTGACACTCATGAGATTATTGCGCCAACCAGAGCCTAAACGAATCATCGAACAAAAGTAGACTTGTAAATATCTATTTTAATACTTGACAATTTTATATTGTATCATCGGAAATTTTTCTAAGACCCTCGTTATCGTATGTCGTATCGGAACACTGAAGCGCCTGTCTAGTTTGGATTGAGACAGTGGTTTCGAACTTTCCTCTTCAAGTTTTCGAAATTGTTGCGGGTGGTACTACTAGTACTATTTTTGAGCAGTAAAGCAACAAGAATTTTGTTGTCTGGGGCAACGATGAATGAGGCATATTTGATCTTCAAGACTTGTCGCTCCAGATCACAACTATGATTACTGGTAGTCCTATTAGAATGGATCCAGCAAAACAAAATTTCACCACCATGAAGCTACTACTCAAAGTACTACACACTACACACAAAATGCTTGCATGCTGATGTTATTTCAGCTCATCGTGGCACGTCAAAGACCAAGTTGTATGTACCTTCACAAAGATTTCTACTTCGTGGTTGTGGTTGCTATTTCATAGTTTTATTTGCTTACGGGCAGAGGCCAGGAAAGTCCCTCCACACCGTACCTTTCTGTACTGAACTAGGAAGGGGAAGGATGAGGCCACGATGCTCATCATTGACGTTTGCCACAGCACAAAGCGTGTCGGTATCACCACTTCACTGCTTCGCTGGTCGATACTTCACGATACCCCGCTCTATTCTTCGCCACTATTGCCGCGTGGCATGTGAGGTGTTGGGTTCTTTTTCTGCCCCGACATCCTCGGTACGTATTTTTTCCAAAATACCTTGGGGTTCACCACCTGCTTGACCGTTGGCCGGATACCCAGCGCCCGCGCCCGCAGCCGTTTGTCGGCGGTCACCAGCTTGACGCGGCGGCTCGGGTCCTCCTTACGTATCTGCTCGATTTCTTCAACCAAAAAGTCGTCGGCGATCGTCCCGTGTTGTAGCTGGACCTTCGTGAAGGAATCCGTCAGCTTGGAATCCGTTCGCTCCAGGTCGACGTCCCTACGACCGTCAAAGACTAGCAAGACATCGTTGGGAGTGCTGGAACCCCCCTGCGTGCCGGAGATGGCCACGAGCTTTTCCGCAAGCTTGTCCCCGTCGCGGGGCAGCCCGGTCACACCGCGCTGCCCTAGGAAGTTGTTCCCGTCAATTAACCATGTTGTAGGGCGTTTCGTCTTGCTCGAAACATGGTTGATGGTGAGCGCAGAGCAACACTGGGTGGTCACCGACAGCAAAACCAGAAGGGCAGCTAGGAAGGCAACCATCCGTGCTTGCGTTCTTCGCACTTGTGAAATAGAAATCATCTTTTCAAAAAATAATCGTATCGTTACTTGACGTTGTTGTATTTGAGATTGACTGTTTCTCGTTTCTTATGGTAATGGAGTCAGGTCGGCGAAGAAGATGGACTTGTGTGCAATTCGAGATTTGATGCACTCCTCGTAGTCGTACGAGTTACCAGCTTCGAACTCCAAGTCATGCATTTGCTGGACGGTACGAGACTTTCTCGGATGTACGGTACGAACCTTCTGTCGCCGTTTTGATGGGTCGATGTGTGGTACGGTACGATTTCTCGTAGAGTCGCGTATTGGGTAGCCCGCACCGTGGTACGGTAGCCTGATGGTTGCTTTCTTCTGAAAAACTGAGGAATGTTGCATTCACATACGTTTTTCGTTTTTAACGATATTTCGATGGTTGCAAAGCGAGCGTTACTCTACCGTACATACAAACCCGACTCGGAAACAAGAAATCGATTTATGGTATGTTCAAGTACCGGCACTACGATACCCGTGGATTATGAATTACAGTACAGGTAGCCGTAACGCATTCACTACCAACTCCCAAAGAACTCTCCAGTCCACTGACAGATTGAGTCGAGTGAGTCAAGAAATAAATGAGTCACGATTTCGGAACGATTTTGTTGAATTATTGTCAATGTTGTTCGATCGATGTTGCCTTTTGTTTTGCTGGGAGGAAACTGTTGTCTTTTAGTGTGTTTGTTGTCTACTCACGGGCTGCTAATTAGCGTAAAACATGAATTCATTTCCTGGTATCAAATCAGAAATAATAAGCAGAAACTGAGTTCATGTTTTACTCTAGTGAGAGTACTGCTATCGATGCAGCAGAGTATAGGTGCAAAATTTCATGTTTTACTTTGAACCATGGCGCGCGTTTGAGTCTTTTTAGTCTTTACGTTGAAAATTAATTAAGATTCCAAATTCCCTTAAAGACTGGCATCAAGCCGGCATCCTCTCAGTCTGTCCGTTGAGTGTCTTGATTCCCGTTACTCCAGATCCCTAGATTTAGAGTTTTAGAGATCTAGAGTATCGGGAATGACCCATATCCTCGACTCAATCGAACGATAAAAATTATCGGTGCGGTATGACTACTACGAGTTTCCTAACAATTGAAACCGGACTCCGCCAGAGAGCAAAAAGTTTTGATAGGAAGTTTTAAACTTTGATTTGAAGTTATGAACTTTTGCTCGTACATAATCTACCAGGTTCTACTGAGCTTGATTTTAAAATGACAATGACCTAATCGATTCCCCGATTCCCCTCAGAAGGAAACAAAATGGTTCGAGGTGATTGAATCATGAATCCTGGCCTTTCAATTACGAATCCTGGCCTTTCAATCATTAATGCCATCCAAAAACTAGCTTAGTAGAACCTGGTAGACTTTCTACAGGGACATTTTGAAGTTAATAACTTCAAATCGAAGTTTAGAACTTGAAATTATTACTTACAGTATTGCTCTCGGGCGGAGTCCGGTTTCAATTGTTACGAAACTCGTAGTAATAAAAAATCAGGAGCTCCTCTCGTCTCGCCTACGCCTGGGCTTGTCAATCTCCCTCCGCTCAACTACTGGATCTACCCGCGTAGGAGTACGAGTAGTTGTTACATACGTATTCTTAGTTGAAATAGAATTACTTCTATTTATTTTTTCTCTCAAAAACTTCAAAAATCTTGGAGTTTTCGTTTCTTCACCGAACATTACCAACTTCCTAGCGCACGGAGATGTAAGTTTCTGTACAATTCGTGAGCGAGAGATAGACCAGAGGCATCTGGTAGATATGCTTAAAACCTCAACATCATACCGTACTGTGGTACTACAAAACTGATAATTTCGAGCTTGTTTTTTGAGATTGTTCCGATTCTATTCATGACGTTCATGACAAGTATTCTTTTGAAAAGAATTCTTTCGGCTGTCTAGTAGAAGTTGTGAGGCGACATCCCGAGGGTTTTTAATTCGAGAGTTGTTGAAGTCAGTTGTTGAACTCACTAAGACAACGGTGAAGCGGCGGTACTCGGGCTGTGTTGTTGGGTGAATGGGGTGCTTCTTTCAGCCCATGCGGTTCGTACCGGATAGTTTGTTAAATGATCGTCTTCAACTTATGACGTAGCTTCGTGAAACTGAACTGCACTCGTACTACTACATTGTCGGGCCAATGGGGTAAAATTTGACAGTATCGAAGGGTTTCTTCGATCTTGTCGAAGGTGACAAACAGACATACGTACCGTACGGTACCGTGCAGTACACACTGTAATGACGAATGAAGGGGATCCCACGTCGTGGGTTCCAACTTCGAATCGACCCTGGGTCATCCTAACAACCGTACCGGCCGGTACGACAGGGGTCTAAATTATGACCCCTGGCGTACGAGACGTACTGAATTGAGTGACCCATAATTAACCGCTTGTAAAGTGCCTCATAGTAAGCATCGTCAAGGACAAGCATTCGTGGTTCGACGAACAAATTCACTTTGAATGTTGCAACCTAAATAATGTAATGTTCAACACGTGCAAGATGCCGGGTTGAATGGTATGTCGTGCATCTCATTATTCACTGCAACAGAGCTTTAAATATGCCGCAATATTTATCTGACCCATTCGATTAACTCCGTGCACTGAAGTGTCCGACAATGCCCGAGGTTCTTTTTACGGCTAAGGAGAACTCACGTTAGTTGTGGTCCCATCGGCGAGACCAAACCTAACCAGAATGCAAAAGATGGCACGCATCAGTAAACCCAACCGACAACCAAATTATCAGGCGTCGAATTGACAACAGAGAATACCGCACTGCAGATCGTTTGTTGTAGATAGGAAATATAGGTTTCTATTCTTATTGTATTCATCATACTTGTTTGTAGTACACAACATCGGATTGTCGTAGTTTTCTAGTATACATAATGTAGCAGCAATCGCTTCGTTTCGTGTGGGGGCATATGGATTGCGTTATACGTCACCGCACGTATTGCAGGCTCGCGGACACAGTGTCGAAAGGAGTTTGCCTGGGACGCCTGGGAGTGGTTTCTTGCACTTGTTCCTCCTGGCGATCCAATTGCAGTTTTTCCATTTCTTTTTCTTCTTCTTTTTCTTGTGCCACTGGAATTTCCCCACCGTGTCGGCGCAATTGCTCTCGTTGTCGGGGTTCTGGGGGTTGCCGAGATCTGCATTTGGATTCGGGCCGACCGTGAAGACGTGCTCCTCGACATGGAAGTCGTTCCCACCGCTGTACTGTCCCCCTTGCGCTACGACACCGCCGTTGGGGTCTTTGATCCGGTAGGATCCCTCGCCCTGGTTGCAGCAGATGCCGTCGCTGTAGACGTCCGTGATGACGAACTTGTACTCGGTCTCGTAGGGGAGGCAGAGATTGTGGGTGTAATCTGTGTTCGCGTCGCCGTAGTCCGGGCTGGACCCGTAGGCCCGGCCCTGCCCCCCGTGCTCGAACACCGTCCAGGAATTGTCCTCGGGGAAGTTGTCGGTCCTGAGCTCGACGGTGTACACGGCACAGGGATCCGTGGGGCTGTCCTCGTGCCTGCCAAGGTCCGCGATGGTGACGATGGCGTCCCGGCCGTCGGACTTGGTCGCGCTGTAGGTTATCCTGACGTCGCGATGTTTCTCGCCGTTGAAGTTCTGGATGACGTACGAATCCCCGATGCCGAGCGCAGCGTGCTTGGTGGACAGTCCGTATTCGTTGGGGAAGCCGGCGTCCTTGGTGAGCACGGTGACCTTGTCTCCGTCCTCGACGATGTCCTGGGTGATGCCGGTCTTGCGCATGTACCCGATGTACCAGTCCACGACCTTGGCGTCTTGCTCCAGCCGCACCGAAATGTTGGCGTCACTGGGGCCAGTTTTGTAGTCCGCAACCCCGTTCAGAGTGAAGATTCTCTCGGTCTTGTTCGAGGTAAGGGGATTGTAGTCGACCACCTTGTCCTTGTACCACCCGAGCTGATAGTTCTTGGCGGGATTGAAGCATATCTGCTGGTCGTCGAGGCCGTAGGAGAAGCCCATTGCCCCGGACTGATCCGAGTACTCTGATTCCTCGTGCTGGCCGCTGTGCGCCAGGCCCAGGTTGTGACCCACCTCGTGCAAATGCGCCGAGACGTAAGAGCACCACTTGTCGTTGTAGAAGGAGAACTTGGTGCCGACAAAGGCGTAGGCCATCCAGCTTCCGGTGCCGGGCGGCATGCAGAAGAGGACGAGGTCGAACTTGTCGTCCATGAGGTTCCCGACCTTTTCTGTGGCGGCCTCGTAGGCGGCGCTCTGGAGGACGCCCCGGAGGTCGTTGTCGGCCAGGTTGTAGTCCAAGGCCACTTCGACGACGCCGCCATCGACACCGGGCGCCTCGTAGGGGTTGATCTTGAGCTTTCCGTAGGAGCAGGCCTCGAACTGGGACGAGAGGCAGTGATCGTCTAGGAAGACGTCGTTTTGCAGCTTCTTTACGTTCTGCTGCGGCGAAGAGTCCTTCGCGGAGACGCGGACCACGAGGGCGTTCATGACGCGGTCCACCGGCTCGTTGTCCTCGTCGACGCGACGTTCCTCGTTGAGACCGTTGCGGGGCTCCTCTTGCAACTCCACGGAGGCGTGTCGGGGGATGTACATCTTGGGTTCGATGGTGTCGACGATGGCCTCGCTCGCGACCAGGACCGATTTGCCCGAGACGGCCTCGGCAAAGATCGGCGACCCTGCGGATTGGTTCACGATATCGACGAATCGCACCTTGGAATCGGTGCCTTTCAGTATACAGCCCCACTCTTGGGTGTTGTAGGGATCGCTGTGTTCCACGTCGGGTCCGTGCTCGACGGCCCGGAGGACGAGGTTGCAGGTTTCGCCGGGTTCGAGGTGCCTGTGCCTTTGTTCGTCAAAGGCAAATTCGGGGGCATCGTCTCGGTTGTCCTTGTTGTCGACGCTGTTTTCATGGTCTTCGTTTGCGTTTGCGTTTGTGTCGGATGCAGGTGTTTCTGCTGTCGCGGGAACCGTTGATCCTCGAAGGCTGCCTCTCGAAGATGCAACACAGGCAGCAGCGAGAACGAGTCGCAAAAAGGCGGTGGTATTCATTTCTTGAGGAGACAGAGACGTGTGGAGTTGCTGTTGTATGCGAAATCTGATTGCGTTGGACGAGTTTCGATTTCCAAATACTTTTTAAACTGGTTTGGTAGAACAGTATGTGGGCGTGTTTGTTTGTGTTGTTTCTGTTTCAATGAACAAGCACGAGATGTAGAAAAAGGATGGGATTGAATGTTGAATGACCGTCCTTGGTTTGGCTTGGTTTGCTCTTGTCAGAACTTTGGATTGTGAACCTACCGAGTAATGTCTTCGCTACACTACTTTTTTCGTTTTTGACGAGAATGTGCAGAAAACAATGAAGGAGAGCTACCTTTTCTGGTGGGAAACGGCTCGAGTGCAATTTTACAGTAACAATTTCGAAGTAGTACCCGGTATTGAATTCTTATGGTACCGTATTGGTCGCTTTTCCGTGTGGGGGAATGGTTCAAACCATGCAACGAGAAGAACTGGAAGCGTTTCAGTGGTTTTTGGACACAATGAATTGTGCGATCCGCGCTCCATAAATAAAAAATATCAATAATTGTATGTTATTGAACGGAAGAAATGTCACTCTTCAAGCGATGAACCTTATCAGTGAGTGTTCGTTCTTGGAGACCATCGTTCAAGGCACAAGGTACGTAATACGTTAACTCCCCTTATCGTGATAGGACTATGGGCCTTGTATTCCGAACTTGCATGCAGCATATTACTTATGGCACATTCTGACAGTTTCCGGAATATGCTCAAAAGACCAAGATGACCATCCTGAAGAGAACCGCAGACATCTCAGACTCAGACGAAATACCATCGAATCCAATTATGGTGTTTTATACCCCTCCACTATCTCGGTAGGCTCCAGTAATGTCTTGATATTATTGCCAAAAATAGAATCCTGATCCGACGAGTTCTTTCTACTATGAGGTTTGACGTAGCAACCGTTGGATGTGGTACTAGTCATTGTTGGTTGCTGGCGTCTAACAACTGCTCGTGTCATTATCTCATGCCTCGTACCATTCCACGGGTCCTGTCATGACTGTCCAGACAATATCCTCGACAAAATTATTTAAGTTTCTATGGTCTTTTGATACTTTTATTATAACAAATTGGAATATCTGGGGGGAAACCGGAATGACAAAGATGCTTTCACTGGTAGTGTATCAATGATTGATAGTTTCTGTACATACGACTATTGCATCAGAGATAAATTTGACGCATCCGATGATATTTCCGTTGATGTACCAGTATGCTGCCGAAAATGGCATAAACGAAGGGTCTTGGTGGGTTGCAGTCCTCCTATTCTCGCTAAGTGAACGATGCGGACTAAGCCTTGCCGTAGGAATCAGAGAGGGTTACATAAAGAAATAGAAACCAAAAGTGGAATATGTAGATTCTGATACAAAAACCAAAAAGCATGTTCCTAGGCATGTAAGCATTGTGGAGCAAAAACTGTGTTCTGTACTACGGAACGTGACCTATCTGTTTCGGAATGTTCTACTCAGCTTTCACCTCAATAGCCTAATCCAATTAGCGTTCCACTATACGGTATAGCAAACATACTTTCCGAAGCAGCACATGTTTCGATGGTCTCCATGGATACCGTCCCGTAGGGAGGAAAGCGAGGCGCCTTGTCCGATGACCGTAAGACTGCATGGCCCACGGGGATATCCCCAGGAATAAGTCGCCTTCCTTCCATAATTGTGGAACGCAGTCCCGGATGGATTGGTTTCGCAGGCTACAGGTACACAACCATAACCAATGGCGTGTTTCAAGTACTAGAGCATCATTGAGTGCCAAACAGAAAGAGCCTATCATCCTCGTGGTCCCCTCAAACCGCATACTACTGACACTGCTAGGTACTAATCCAAATTCTCTTCGTTACCGTAATTAAAAAAGAACTAACATGCCCTCCAATGCTGGTACTACTTGTTAATTAATGATCTCTTTTAAAAGTACTACTACTGTCCGGTATCCGCTGACGCATTGCCATCGCCGGGCTATGAAGGAGGATCCAATTGATAGCGTTTCAACGAAGCAGTATAAACATCATTTGGATAGGGCTGGTTGAGTGTCACCAATCGCAATTACAATAATTCAAATTTCTTCTTCTTTAAGGTAACACCACATCGCCGAGACCAAAACGTCCATTCGTTCCGTGCTCTGCAAAAACACTGTCCGGGACGACTTCCCCTTCGTTGCATGGAATGTTCAACGATCTCAGAGAACTTACTTCTCCGGGGAAAGAAAACTGCATTGGGATTTCGCCACCAAAATACATATTTCCTACTCTGTCGATTGATCACTTCCAAAATATCAATTCATTAATTATTGTAGATAAAAGTAAAAATAGCGTTACGTAATGGCCTAATAAGTCTCTCGTAATAGCCACTATCCTTGCTTGACACAACGATACCTTATTCCTCGTTATTAAGTGAGACGGTCTCCAGTGCCGTATTTTTGAAAGTGAAACAAATGATATTAATAATCATTTCTTGACCCTACCCCTTCCGCTTCTTGGATATGTGTTCTCCTAATGCTCGTAAGGGATTTTTTTTCATACAATGAGGCAACTGTACGGCAACATAACCTATTTCGAATAAAGCATTTTATCAGGCGCTAATAAAGTTGCGATGCGACCAAAATCGGAATGTCTTATTCTTTGCGACCGCGAATTTGCACCACCTCACCGACCTTCTGCAACATACCGTTTGGTTCGGAGAGATAGACTGCACGAGCGCGTACGGTACATACCGTAACGCCGACTTCGCCATCTGCTCGAGGGCAGTTTCTGCAACTCCATGCTTTGTGATTCCAATGCAGACTAGAAGTACTTACTTAGAGTACTTCCGTATGCAACTTGGGACTATTACTACCGTAAAGGGCTGGTTGTGGTTTGTGCTGCGAGAGGGGAGCAGCACCAATAGAACAGCCGCTACTGTGATCCGAACTAGTGACTAGTAGTAATAAAGATTATCCAGAAGTAAGCACAAGCACTAACGAAATTTTGTATTATTTCCCTTGCAGTAAGCACCAGTAGAAATATTTGGGACTCGAGTTTCTTGTGTGGAGGGGGGGGAGAGGGGAAACAAAGATGAAAAAAATTGACAGCAGGGGAATTACCAATGGCTTGCCTTAGATAGCTCTACGTAGTACGTGGACAATGCGACCCCTGGACAATGCCGCCCTTCATGAAGAGAAGCGACACACAGCCAGGGTAGAACTCTTACGTAGCGTAGAGGACTAGCGCTGTACTGTACGGTACTGTACTTCTGTACTTCGTACTGTACGGTACTGTACTATTTACTGGACTGCGCCGGCTAGCACGAACGACGGCTAACACCATCGTCCCAAATTTTGAAATTTCCATCTTCAACGGTACGGGCGATCCGTAATCCACTTTTGTACGGTACGTACCAAACGAATCAACGGTCTGCAGAGAATGGGGGTCACGGCACGGGTCACGCCGTCCGATACACTCGTACTCGTACACACGAACCCTACAATACTGTACGCACGCAGGGCTGTAAATTAGGACCCCTGACTGTACATACGGTACATTGTCACAGTCACAGGCATTGCCATACGTATTGCTCCGTACGTATTGTACTGAAAGAATCGGACATAGCCTGCCCT